CCAACCCATATTTATATGGTCGGTACTCCACTTATGTAAATTAGGTGTATCGTACACAACACTTTACCATATATTTTCTGTGTTATCATATGATATATTGTAATGTGTTTAACATTTGTATTAGCTCATGAGGATTTTGCTGCATATTGCTTTCCGCCAATGGCTTTAGAGCTTCATCATCAAAATCCAACGAACATTCCTGTCTGGGTTTATCTTTCAATCACATTTCCCCAAAATAAAATTTTGCAAACCAATTTTGTACTTGCCAGTCTGTTGTGACTTCTTGACCATAAACACTACATATTTTTTCTAGATGTCTCTATAGCATTATTTTCCTTGTTTGAACTCCTGTGACATTATGTGACGTAAATATACTTTTAATCCCCCCCCATTAGTGGTGCTAAGAAATGAATACTTTAATCCATTGTGTATGCTGCCACTGACATGTGAAACTAAGGTCTGTTAGTGTACTTTGAATTCATTCCTAACTACACTATATGATTAATACTTAGGATAATATGTTTTTTATTACAACTGGTTCTCAAAAATAGAAATTTCTTATGACCCAACCTAGCATTTTGATATTTATTGTTGTAGAATACCTATGGATGATAATGGGTATGTCCCCATTCACATAAATACAGTAGTAAATACTATATGTTGGTCTGCAGTCAAAGATTCGCCTAGAGCTGTGCTGGTCAAACTCTTTGCCTCTGAGCAGAGAGGATTCCCAGATGAAGCTATGTCGAAGGGCAGAGTCTCATCTCAGGAAACAGCTACCCAACCCTGTTTTATACAGGGTCTACGAGGAATTTTTGGCTGAGCCTACAGGCTCAGATACCCCACATTAAATTTGGCCTTGTGCCACATCTGACCATGTGGGGTGGTTGGTAGACATCTTGCAGTTGGAGATATCTTGTAGAATTCACTTGACTCACTTCTAGCAGTTGACTGCTTGTTCTATGTGTAGCTGGCAAATCTTATATGTGTTGTTCGTGTCTTAAGTATTATCATTCATTACCAACCTTCATGCAATTATTCTATTCAGTAACCTTCCCTAGGTTACAAGATTTATTGATCACGTCTTCAGAATATCATCAAATCTTTTGAATCAAATAAAATTTATTTTCTTGTGTGTTTCCTGAATTTATTTTTTCTAGGTAAAGTTAAATTGGAACAGATAAAAATGATTTAGAAAATTTGATTCAATCTAGTCAAGATTAGGCTGATTCATGTAACTTATCCATTCACTCTTTAAGAAAAAGGATAAATACTATTCTTTTTGTCCCACTGCCAGTCCTTTTAATTATGACTTAGCAAATGGAATGCCAAATTGGAACATGAGAAATAAAAGAATGCAATTTCAACATAATTTCTATAAATAGCTGTTACATGTACTACAAATCTTGACAAAGAGAATTTTTGTCTGTGTATATATCTATAAATAATAGATGTATAATTTAGGCAAATTATAATTCCTGTTGATATAAATGGTGATGCACAGTTCCAAAAATGTCGTTTCACATATTCTATACCAAATGATAGCATTTGAGTTTGCTCAATGGAAGCCTTTTTGAGAAGATAGTTTTCCAAGTTTGCATTTCTGCCTGCCTTTTACCTTATTTATTTAGTGCAGGCGGGCAAGCAGGCAGGCAAGCAGGCAGACAGGCAGGCAAGCATTGAGGGGCTAATTGTGAATTTGATTTCCTGTGTTCGGAGCCATCAGTTCCTGTGCAGTAAGATGGTAAGGTGTAGGGTAGTAGGGTAGGACAGAATGGAAACAGGATCGTGGAAAAGACTAAAAAGGAAAAAGATCCAAAGAAGAAGAGAATGGGATTAAAAGAAGGAGGAAATTAAGATGCAGCAAAACACTGACTTAATAAAATCACCTGAGAATTACAAGAATTTATACTTATATATATATATGTATGTGTGTGTGTGTGTGTGTGTGTGTGTACATTTATGGGTGCATATATATGTATAGATGTGAATGTGTGTGTGGGGGGGTACCTTTATGGATGCATGTGTGTTTAGAACGTTCACTTTTGACCATGAGAAATAGGTTCAATTATCACCATGGTCCAGTGTGCACACTTTTGAAATATGCTTGAAAACCATACCACATATATATAGAGATGTGAGTGTGTGTGTGGGGCGGTTACCTTTATGGGTGCATGAGTGTTTAGAACATTCACTTTTTGACCATGAGAACTAGGTTTGATTAACATCATGGTCCAGTGTGCACACCTTTGAAATATGATTGAAAACCATACCACAGGTTGAACCAATCCTTTAATTGCACAGATGAAAATTGTTCATCGATGGTTGTGCTAGAATGAAGCCAGAAGTCATTGTGACTAATGGTTTGAGCGTGCTGGCCATGATAAAACTGCTCATCACACCAGATGATATGATCTCAATCAGAAGTTGTAACTAAGCCTAGTCAGCCTAGTTGCAATATTAACTGCAAATGGGATTTGTGGGTCTTGCAAATGTGCTTGAGCAGGCATCTGCAACAGGGATTAGTTAACCACCTTGCAGATAGGTATACTCAGATATGAACAGACCGCCTTATATGTATATGTAGATGTATGTGCCATTGAATGCGAATGTTTACTCATGTGGCCATTTACATCTATTTACTTTTATATTTATATATTTTCTTATTTACATACCTATCTGTATCCATATGCATAGACATATATATCTTGAAATGTTTAAATTGTTCTATTTATCTTTGATTATTGATCTATTCAGAAATTTCACTCACCCTCAAATGCATACATATAGTTACATATAAAATGTGAATATATATATATATATATATATATATATTTATATAGTTTTAAGGTATGCTATATTTAAGGGTTAAAGTGCTCAATATAAGAAATACTGTGTATACAAATATAAAAGTGGACTTTGAGGTCAACACCCAGCAGTGGCATGGCCTGAAGATTGTGTTTAAGCATGATACAGTGTTGCTACTGAATTTTTACCTCAATGTCCTATATATATATATATATATATATATATATATATATATATATAATATATATATATAAACAGTCTCCTCTAAATGGATTGTAACAATGAGGACAATTTCATTGTTTTTTTTTGTTGTTTTTTGTTCACTGAAGATATTTGGGTTTAAGATCAAAAGATGAGTATGAGACAGAAGTTCAGAATTTCAGTTTTTATTTACTGGTATTTACATTTAAATCTATTAAACAACTTAGGGCATACCACCTTTTGTTTGAACCCACCCATTTTTCAAGTGAGCAAAACTACTGGAACACGTGACTGACAAATGTATATTATTGCCCAGGTGTTGCTTTTTAGATTGATTATTTAAACATTAAACAGCTCTGAATGAATACTCTTGGTTCTATCCTTGGGTTTCTCCTGTAAAGTCTGTATTTCAACTTTTTTTTCCCTGGTGCTCCAACTACATGAATTTAAGTATGCTACTAGATTGGCTGCTAGGTCATGCTCTTTTACTGTCGAAATAGTTTAATGTAACTGTCACTTCTATTCTAACAATTTCTTTTTTCCCACTTCCAGACAGTAGAACTCCCTTCCACTTACTTGCTTCCCTGATAACTACAATCTTCAAAAATTTAAATAAAACATCAACCACCATCTTCTGTTGACTTAAATCCCATTCATCATTTATCCTTTTCTCAATCCCCCTTATATCCAGTCTTTTCTATCACTTTCACTCTCTGTAACCCCCTGCGTATTAGTGGTGCTCTTGCCTTGCTTGAGGGTGTAATGATAAAAAAAACAACAAAAAAAAACAATAGCATTTGATGACAGAAACATTGTGAGAGCTGTGAGGAAAACCAACACTCAGTGACATCACCACAACTGCTGCACTGCAGGAGTGAAGGTTTCACAATCCACCATTTGAAGAAAACTTTAGAAGCAGAAATACAGAGGCCATACCACAAGATTAAAAACACTCATCAGCATTAAGAGTCCAAGGGCTGGATTGGAATTTGAAAGGAAGTACATGGATGAGCAACATGGATGTTCTGGAAGAAAGTTTTATGGAATAATGACACAAAGATTAATTTCTACCAAAGTGATTGAAAGGCCAATGTGTAGAGAAAGAAAGGATCTGCTTATGATCCAAAGCATACAAGCACATCTGTGAAGTATGGTGGACGCAGTGTCATGGCTTGGACTTGCAGGGCTGCTTCTGGAACAGGCTCATTCATCTCATTCATATTTATTGATGATGTAACTTATGATAGTAGCAGCAGAATGAATTTAAAAGTCTACAGTAACATTTTGTTTGCCAATTTACAGAGAAATGCATTCAAGCTAATTGGGAGGAAGTTTATCATGCAGCAGGACAATGACTCAAAACATACTGCCAACACAACAAAGGACTTTATCAGGGGACAAATTTAGACTGGCCAAGTCAATCACTGGACCTTAACCCAATAGAGCATGCATTTCATCTCCTAAAGAAGAGAAGGAAGAAACCACTTAAAACAAACAAGAACTGAAAGAGGCTGAATTAAAATCTGGAAATCATCACAAATGAAGAATGCAACAGTTTAGTGATGTCAGTGGGTCACAGACTTAATGCTGTTATTGCAAGCAAGGATTATGGAACCAAATATTAAATGTTATTTACTTTAAGACTATCTTTTCCTTTATTTTTGCTCACCTAAAAATGGGGGTGATCTGATACAAAAGGTGGTATGTGCTAAGTTGTTTAACACATCTAAATGGAAATAACAGGAAATAAAAGCTGAAATTCTGAACACTTGTCTCATATTTATCTTTTGATCTTAAACTCAGATATCTTCAGGGAGCAACAAAAACAAAGGAATTGACCTTGCTGTTCCAGTACCTTTGGAAGGAACTGTATATGTATCTTCTATGTCTCGATATGTGATTGTGCGTGCAGTTGTGTGTAAGAAGTGATATTGTGTCTATGGGAAAAGCAGATAAATTATTTTAAATTCCAAATGTTGCCATTTCAGTAGTTATTGGAAAAGAGAGACAACATCAAACAGGAGGAATGGAGAGTGAAAGAGAAAAGGAGAGAGAGAGAGAAAAGGAGAGAGAGAGAAAAGGAGAGAGAGAAAGTGAGAGAGAGAGAAAATGAGAGAGGGAGGGAGAGTAAAGGAGAGAGAGAAAAGGAGAGAGAGAGGGAGAGTAAAGGAGAAAGAGAAAAGGAGAGAGAGAGGGAGAGAAAAGGAGAGAGAGAAAAAAGCAGAAAGAGTGGAAGAGAAAAGGAGAGAGAGAAAAGGAGAGAGAGAGAAAAGGAGAGAGAGAGAAAAGGAGAGAGAGAGGGAGAGTAAAGGAGAGAGAGAAAAAAGCAGAGAGAGAGGAAGAGTAAAGGAGAGAGAGAAAAGGAGAGAATAGGAGAGAGAGGGAGAGTAAAGGAGAGAGAGAAAAGGAGAGTGAGAGAGAAAGTTGGCAGAAAAGAAGGAATCAGTGAGTAGAGAGATGGAAAGGATGGAGAGAGGAGAATGATGAAAAGGAAAAGGTGGATAGAGAAAGGTGGGAAAAAACAAATTTAATGATAACATAAATAATAGAAATTACAATCTTGTTCAGTCCAAAATCAAGGAAGGGATATTCTTCCCAAATCCTTTTTCATTGACACATTGTCACATGTGTAGTATACCTGAAGTAGTGGCCAGGTACAACTTTTCACTTGGTGACCAGCTTGTTTAGCAATTACCTTATTGGACTAGAACCAAGTCATTAAGGTAAGAGTGGATGTAATAAATATAATTTTTTATTTACTGAATTTGTTTTTTTTTTTTTTGTTTTTTTGGTAAATAAACATATTTGAATTGCTATTCCTACTTGTATATATTCTTAAACAATGAAATTAATAACAACAGGTCTAGATTGGGAAATCTTAGTAAAGATAAATTGTTTCTCTAACTAAAATCAAATCTCCATACCTTTTTCCATCAGGTAAAGTGCTTCTATAGCTAAAACATGCCTTTGCCATTTCAGCCATGAAGCCGTGTTAATAAAACAAGATCTGAATTACATATTTATAAATTAAATATATATTTTCTTATATCATAAATAATATTTTTGAAGTGAATAAACTGACAATATAGGTAACAGCTTCTTTTTCCTGTGACTGTCTGTGGAGATAACAAAAATTATGGGAGTGTAGCTTGATTAGTTTCTCCAGTCAGAATTTAATTGAATCTTAATGTTTGAGATTGACAGAGCTGAAAGTATCAGCCTATTGACTTTTGAAGAAAAGATTTTGTTTTGTTGTCTTGCTAAGAAAAAAAAAATGTCTTCCTTCATCATGATAATTTTCTCTTTTTTTCTTAATTTCATTTTTTTTTTTTAAATATGACACAGTGTGCAGGTAGCTTAATGATTATCAGTGCAGAAAGTGGGATCGGTAATCTGAGTTCAAATCTGCAGTCACTCTCTCACAGATGTGCCGTCGCCTCTCTCTGTCTTTTTTACAAATACTTTCATGGTAATTACTCCGATGAACTGCTTTCGCTGGTTCACAGACTTCATGAATTCAAGCGTCCTACGAAGCTGACATACTGCTCTCAACCTTTCACTGTTGAAACTATTGAATGTAGCCGTCTCTTCTACTCCAATAGCTTCATATCTTGCACCTCTCGCCTGTGGAACTCCCTTCCCTTTTCCTGTTTCCTTGATAGCTATTATCTTCAACTATTCAGATGTAATGTCAATTCACATCTCCAGTTGCCTTGATCTATCCACTATCCTTCTCCCCATCCTTTCCTCTATCACTCCTATCTGCTCACACTCCAAATCCTCTATAACCCCTTGTGTGCTAGTGGCTTCCCACTTTGCTTGGGGTGAAATGCTTTAAAAAAAAAAGAATCCAGCCTTGATTGTTGCATTCACTTTCACACAACTAGCCTCAACAGAGAAATAAATTAATTTCTTCTCCATCCGGTTATGTGTTAAATAGCAATTTACATATAGTGGCAACCCATTTAAGAAAAGGAAAACATTGAATACAAAACAGTGGACAAAGCAATGAGAAAGTAATTCATTATCTTTCCAAAGAAGGTATGGCAATTCACAAATGATAGAGAAAAGGTATCTACAGAGAGTGATTTTTATCTATGACCTGGAGCGATATGGCATTTAAAGATAATCATAAGAATAGCTAGAAGAAAAGCAGAAGAAAAAAAATCGAAATATAAATAAAAATATTATTTTATGAAGAAGAAGAATAAAAAGTGAAACATGACAAAGGAATTGTTATGTGTATGCGTTGAGCTTGGCTTGCATATATAGATTATTACAGATGCAGATTAAAAGAGAAACAATCATAAAGAAAGAATATGTGGTTGGTGTAATTGATATTGGGTTGGAACGAGAAATCTGGGAGCCAAGTTCAAATTCCACTTGAGTTTGTTATGTTTATTTACATGCATATACACTTGAGAAAGATGTGAACCCAACTCATCTCCCACCAGTTAAAGGTTAAACATCAGGACAGACTAGGTTCTGTAGCTTTGGGTGGTAACTAGTCGAGAGATGTTGATGTGATGAAAAAACTCCCATCCTCCAACAACCTGGGACACTTGTAGGGATGGCAGGCTCATAAAAAAAATGACTGAAATTCTTCAGTTTTATGATTTGTGCATTATTCTGCAGGCAGAGAAAGTCTTTTTCAACAAGCATAAAAAAGAAATGAAAGCGAGAGTACCATAAAAATATATGAAAGAAAAGGAACGAAAAGATAGAAATGAAAGAAAAAGGGGAAAAGAAAGAAAAGAGAAATATTAAGAATCAAAGACTGAATGAAAAACAGTGAATAATAAGAAAGAACAATACCAAGAATAAAAAGAGAGATATATGTGTGATTTTGTGTAGATTAAGATTAATAGACAGATAAAAATTGATTTATTGTAGATACAAATTAAAAGTGAAACATATGTAAAGAAGAAAAAATAGAGTAAAATCATATGAAAGAAAGAAAAAATAAATGAGAAAAATTAAAAATCAAAGAGAGTGAATGAAAAAACAAAGAACGAGAGGAAACGAATAAGAAAGAGAGAAGAAAGCAGAGTCACTTGAAAGATGAAATGTAGAATAAATAAAAAGAAAGAAAATAAAATAGTAAAAAGTCAAGGAAAGATAGAATGCAATAAAAAAGAAAATATTGCAAAAATTGTCATAAGAATAAAAAATGCCAGAGAAATATTTAAGGAAAAGAATAGCAAAGACAACAGAACTCTGTCTCCAAGAGCATTCAACAAAAACCAGAAAAAAAAAAGATTTTTTGATAAAAGAAGAAGGAAAGATCTAAATTTCTACTGCAGTCAGTTTTGAGTTATAAGAGATGAAGTGGTAACAATTATTGAAAATTCTTTTGCTCTCCAAAATGGGAGAGTAAGCCAATGATAAAGCAATTGGTAGGAATGATGAAACGGTTGGAATTTTTCAAAAACTCAGGAAATTTCATTTCATTGAAAATGAGCCTTGGCAAATTGATTTGAAAATTCTTCTTACTGACTGAAACTTTACAATACGAAATATGGGATTTTCTCCTTCTGAAAGGACACATATATAGATAAATAGATAGAGAGAAAGGAAAAGACAGAGAAAGAATGGTGGGAATAGAAAATAAGGCTAATGAACCATTGTGGCAATTTATCTATTTTATATAGGAGCATTTTTTTATGTTCTTGTCCATAAAAGAGGTCTATAGAGAAAAAGAAAAACGAAAAGATAAATTACATGAATAATTAAGCAAGGAGCCTATCAATGCAGAGGGAATAAATCTGGTTCAGACAGGGGTTAACTGCTTTGACTCGGACACTATTCAAGACTTAAGACTTATTCTCCGAAAATAGTAGTGTGTCGATAATGTACTAAAATTGGGTTTCTCATCAGGTCGATGATAGAAGAAGATGATGATGAAGACAAGAGTAAAGCACTGACTTATAAGCTTCACATGTAAGTATTTAAGCAGGTATGTTTATCATAAGGTTCCTTGAACACAAGTACTTATCTAATTGCTTCATCAATATATGAACACTCATGCACATACATACATGTTTGAATTATATTTATACATATAGACAGCAAAAACTGACATATACATATGCATTTCTGTATAATATTTACTAGCAGGGATACTCAGCATTGCCCAGGAAAAAATATCTTCAAATGTAATACAAAAAAATAAATGAAAAAAAATTATTTACTGTTATATAAGAATAAAGTGTTGCTACCAACACTTGAGTTTGAACAAATAACTGCCAGTGAGCAAACACAGGCAATCCCATTACTGAACTAAGTAGACCACATGGCCATAGAGGAAACGCATATATGGGAAGTCACGTGATGTCAAGAGGATCATTATTTCTATTCTATCCTCTATTACTATTTGGATCTCCATTTTTGGTCTATCCTCTATAACTATTCTCTACTCTATTCACTATACTATCTCTCTATTCAGGTCACTATATGGGTTAATTGTCAAGCGAGTATTATCGATCAAGTACTATTAGTGTGAGTGATATTTGAAGGCATCTGACACTTGTATTGTTCAACGGTGTACTATAGTAATAGATACACTGCAATTACAATGTCTCTACTACAACGAGCATTACAAAAGTGACAACAAGTATTTGTTGGCATCACAAAAGTGTCAAATGAGTGTTTGTTGACATCACAAAGTTTACACCATGAAAAAATATTCTGATACTCAAAACTAAAAAAATGTTAATATAGTTAAACATAACATTACTGGGTACATAACATTACTATTTCTCTCATTGGGTATTAGTTTGAAAAGGGTGTTTAGGGAAGAATCCCTAGATCAACTAAATCAGAGTTGGATATAGGAAAATCTTCAAGTCAGGTTGAAGGTAATGATCTTAGAAAATTATCATTGCACTATGAAGATGGCCATAGTAAAACTGTATATTAGTGGGAATTAAAGACATTTTAAACCAAAAGGTAAATCTGTTGGACTTAAGAAAATCCTGGGAATTAACATATCCTACTTTTTGTCTATTACAGTTAAAATAGTTGGCTTGGTGAATTATACAGCATAACTTTGAGGGTTTCAGTTTCTGAAAAGCCTGATGGCTTTTCCAACTTTTACTTAAAACATTTTGGGAGGAACATCAGGTTATTCAGTACAGTTGAGAAACTCAAATGGTTTCTGAACAGACTCAAAATTACCAGAATGTAATGCAACAGCTTTGAATTTATTTCTTTGATTGCATCATTCTTTGGAGAAATAAAGCCTTACTCACAGAGCCATTAGTATTTTCTCTAGATTTCAGCCATTTCTATATTTAAAACAAGTAAAAAAAACAAATTTAATCCTTAATATTTTAAAAGTTTGGTTTGAAGACGTTTTCACAGTTTTAATTTTTATAAACAAAACAGGAAAATAAAGTTAACATTTTAAGTAATATTGTTTGATTGAAAAAAGCTATTTTAATTTAAATTTTACTTTTGGTAATCTGATAATCTTGTGCATCTTTGGAGGTCAGCACTAACAGTCCTCTCATATTTTTTCTGGTCAATTTACTTCCATATA